GTTTCTGAGTCACATTATTCCCACACCTGTGAAACATTCTTTACGCAACTCCGGTGGAAATGATCTAAGAATTGATTGCTTCTTGTTGCCTGCTATCAACTCCATCGTTTCCTTACACGTTTTCTTTAACTATTTGTGCAAATAGCAGTTCAAACCTGGGAATACTTATCGGGCCGACATTAACTCATGCGGAATGGCAATCAGACCGCAAAAGACATTGATGAGATCACGAGTTCGAATGACAAATGACTCGTGAAGTTGGATGCATGGAAACGCATTCTTCGGGGCGACAAGGCATCCACATACTTAAGTCGAACTCGGTTATGTGGTGACGTCAATTGCGGGCTGTTTAATTAAATTTTCAAAGTATTTTTCATGCGCTTAATTGTGTCAACGTCAGTGCCAGAGAATTCGAATGGGCGTTGGATGGCGAGGGTTTGTGGATGGCGGTGGAAAAATGCAGCAAGGACGACGCTGTCATTAAGCGCAGCTTCCGCAGGAGCGTACGAATAAAAAAAAGGAGTGGGAAAAGCGCCGGAAAGTAGGCTACACAAGTCAGTAGGTCACCGACATGAAAGCAGCAGCTGTTGTCGATGACAGGACCCCGGCTCCAGCTACTATTTTTTTTTTTGTTTCGATGCCCGAGGGTTCAGGGGCCCCCAATGCCATTCCTATTTGCCACCCACAAGTGGGGGAGAGTCCCCGTTGACGGCCAAATGTCCCCGCGGGCAGCCAAGGGCCACATTTTTCTAGCCACTCTTGCCTGGCATTTTCTTGGAATTTCACTGCAAATGCTTTCGGCAACCACTTTCCAACCCGGGGAAACTTTACCTTTAGTGGCATTTTTCAGAACCTGTTGTCCAATATCTTCAGTTTATGCTGTCGGCCGAAATCAACGTGGCTGGAACTTTTTCATTTAGGTAACTTTATCCCGTTTTTAACAATAAAGGGCTTGGAAGTTTTTGCGGCTTTGAGTTACTTCGACATTTTCCTTCCGCATAAATTAATTGGGAAAACTTATGTTTTAAGCCAAAGTTACTTTTTAATTTTTTTCTGATGTGCAAATAAGGCGGCTGAAAAAAACAAACTAGTTTGGAGAAAAACTTCAATATTCTTGTGATTGCAAGAATAAATCTCAAGAGACCGAATTTTAATTTATGATAGTCAGAGACCAGATAGTTTTCCAATGTATTTCCCCATTTTATTTTTGTGCTCACATATATTTTTATAAATTCTTTCATATTGAGAATAAAGCTGGCACAAGGACAAAACATAATGGATTTTCCATTAAAAAAGGTGTAAAAACTTATTCACATTACCATAAAGAAATATTTATTTCATTTAAAAATTGTAATTTTCCTCCACTTTTTTTTTAGGTCAAAAACCTCAGTTACAACGTTACTTGAACTCAAAACCAACGCAACCCGCCTTTCAGCTAGTGCCTTCCCAGCAATTAGAATTTCATTTGTTTGCGGGTCATTTTCCAATTTAAACATAAATTATTCATATTGTGTATACGCCCCGTTTGCCATAGAGCAACACTTCCAGCGCCACACCAAAGGAGAAAAAGAGAAAGAAAGAGAGCGAAACCAAAGGCAAATGGCAGTTCGATAAAGCAAAATTACATGCCAGTGACGACAATGACAATTGCGAAATTATAAAGCAGGCGAAAAGCCATTAAAGGACATCGCCTTTTCAGTATTCGCAGTCGGTTGGCGAAACGAGTCCTCAAATCCTCATTGTTCGCTGCATTAAGCTCACGTCGTGCAATAATCTGAACAATTGTAGTTTATGCCTTAATTTTTGTTTGCCTACATGTTTTATGGCCAATCCGTTCCGCTTCTCTCCGCTTTTTGCCATCTCGTCCTGTCGCCTTAATTACATTTCTCGTGTCTGCTCCACTCTTTCGTGGTTGTCTCCTGCTTTGTTTTATATCCTCATTCAGTAATTTACTCTCCCCGTTTGAATGTCTGTGACGTCTGTCTTACACAGAAAAAAAACCCTTTCCATTTGCCAACATTCCTCTAAAAGCCATTAACATTTTTAACATTTTGCTACCAGAAGCATAAAGTATTCTCTGTAGAAACATTTTTCGTTGTAGAAGTTACTTTGTTTGTATATTTTTTGTTCTTACAATTATGCCCTATTTTCTAGCACTGTACAAGTGCAACCTTTAGTGTGCGTGCTTGTTTATGTACGAGTGCGGGTAACTTGGTTGTTAAGTAGTCTAGGTTTTTTCATTCTTCTTCCTTGGTAGCGCCTCATAACTCAATTACAAAGCATAAAGGATTTTCATTGCTTGCACGCATCTCGCATAAAGACGAAAACTTTGATGAATGTGAGGAAAGTTAACTGGTATTTCTTAGCGGCTTTTTACTACTTTGCTTTTTTTTGTTCACCACTAGTGACTATTTTGTGTTTATGTTTATTGGACTTGGTGTCTGTATCTGTCGGCGTGGTCCACATAAAATGTCACCAAAGTTAACAGTAAACAAAAAAGTTTTCCGCACTGCAAAAGTGTCTCGCAAATGTATCGTGGGCATTGGGCCAATCTGGAAAGGCCATAAATTAAACCTTTTTGCCGCTGGCCAACAACGAAAACTACAATAAGACAAACAGGGGGAAAAAAAGTAAAATAGTCGAAGGGAGAATTCCCAACTGAGTCGGCAAATCCACAAAAAAAAAAATTCACTTTAGGTGCATCAACTACGTAACATTTTTCAGAATGATGTGTAAATTTTAAACAGCTTTAAACACTGTTTACTCAACTCCAACTAAATTTTCTTTAATCCTTTCTAATATTTTTATCACTATGCCAATAAATTTGTTTAATCGCACAATTCCCGGTAATAAATGTATTGTGTTCGTAGTTTCATAAATATACTGCTAATTTCAACCAGCCATAACTAGCACACCACAGCTGCCATTACCATAGATAATCTCCGTATGGAAAGTTGGGTTCATAGGGGACCCAAATAAATTGAAGTTGGCACAAAGGGCCACCTACATTTTGGCTGATTTATTTTATGACTCCCAGGGTAGTGAACAAAAACAAACAACAGAAACAGCAGCAACTAAAGGAATTCCAAGGGATGGGATTTAAGGTTGAAACCGGAAAACAAAGGCGACACTTTCAAAGAGCAGTAAAAAGCGACAAAAAAAAAAAGAATAAAAACTGGACAACTTACCTATAAAAAAGTTCTCAGGCCTGAGTTTTTAATCCTTTAGGCAAACTTTGAACTTAAATCAAAAGCGGCAGCAGATTTGTGACTTTCTATCGTATTTTCTTCTTTTTTTGTGATTTTTTTCCGAAACACTTTTGGTCGCACTTTTAACACTTGGGAAGACGGGGAACCTGTTAGTCCGCCCAAGGACACGGTCTCACACCCACACTCACTCACACCAGCACGAACGCGGCAGAAACATATTGGCACATTCTCAGCACGACATTCCACAGATCCGTCCGTCTATCCGCTTTGGCCATCCGGGCGATGGCCGTTCGATTGGTGCCACACTGGCCAGTAATCGTTCACCATTAACCAAGTCCGATCCGAGGCTTTTCCAGCTGGTTCTTGCCGCACGCACGTCCACAAGCGAACTAAAGCTGAAAACTGAAACGGAAAACACAAGCCGAAAGCAATGCGAAAAACTGAACGCAGCGCGCAGCCTGCGAAAAGGACATGCGGTAGTACTATCCGTAGTATCCTTGCCTTCGGCCCCTCGGCAGCCGAGAGTTCGGGGAGCCTTCGCCAGGACCGTAGAACAGGATGCTGCCGGATGAAGTTGCCGAAGGACGAAGAGCGGAGAGCGGAGCTTTCGCCTCTCAATTTCGATGCCTTGTGTGGTGAGTATATTTTGGCCATGCACTGCGAACAATTTATAAAGTATAATAATTAATAAAAGCTGTTTTTATGATTACGAAATATTTTAAATTATTTACCAACTACAAATTCTTATTTTAAAACCAAGAAGTTTAAATAAATTTATATAAGCCATAGTGCATTTTTGCAGGAATGGATGGAAAATAATGGTAAAAGTTTAAACAATAGCTTCAATCCAAGTTACACAAACTCTGTCTAAAAATCCAAATGTTATTATAAACCTAAATTCTTCTGCAGCTAAAAGCTTAGATTATAAAACATGCTATAAGAAGTTGGTTTTACGAACATTTCAAATCTAAGCTTACAAAATTTTAATACCCGAAAAATTATTTATGACCTAAAAAAGACAAATAGACATATTAATTGGTTTTACCAAATTCACAAGCCGTGCGTAATAAAGCGTGAAATATCGTTCACACCAATCGATTAATTAATATTCTATCTAGCAGCAGTGGCAATATCAAGTAGCAATCAAGTCGAATTCAAGTAGCAATCTCGGCAGAAATCCAGTTTCCCCATCATGGCAACTACATTCCAATAATAGTTGACGCTTTTAATAAAAATGAACGAAAAAAACCAATCAAAACGAACACGACCAGACGACGCTGGTTAAAATTAAAATATCAATGCAAATATGCTGGGACAGCTTTTAATAAATGCATAGATCGACGGAATATCGAATCTCAGTGGATGGGGAGTAGCACCGAGTGACACAAACCTCTTGGAATACATACAAAAAAAAAACAGTTGAAAATTCTAATCAAGACACGGAAGCAAGACGTCGGCGGCTTCTAAAGGGGAGCTCTTAACATTCGACCAATCAACGGAGATATAACCGAGCGCGAGATCTCTGTTAACCGTGTACCGATGTTAACATGGCCAACAAGTGCGGGCTAATTACGGTGGCCAAAAGCGCACACGCTCTCCCGCTCTTGCGATCACTTGGCTCGCTCTCTTAGCCAATCGCTTCGGGCCGTTATCACCTGCCGAAGCAGTCGAAACGAGCGGGCGAAAAGGGTCGAGACTTCGTCAGTGAACTGGGCTAAAATCACACTCAGTTTTAGCGCGTTTTCTTCGCCGCACCGTTGGCTATCTTCAAAAGCCCCCAAGTTGCATTCGGCGCGAGTTAGTTGCGGTTTAAGCGGCGAGCGGTACGCATCTATAAGTCTTTAGTCTATGGCAATAGAATAGATCCCTGCAAAAAGGACTTTGCACCTGTTTCCTCAAAGTGATCGGGTTACGAGTCATTTTTCCAACCAGACCTTAATCTGGACGCAATAAAATTCGGTCGCGTTGGTGCTAAGCAAATAGTATTTTGCGATATCATAATGCCCAGACTCGTGTGATAAGTGAAAACAACCCGGTGGGATAAAGCCAAGAGAGCGCCAACTTCATCGCACACAGACCAACAAAATTCACGTAGGCAATAAATGTTTTAACGGTGTTCCATAAACATTTTTATAAACAGAAACTTTGATATACGCTATAGTGATACATCTGAGAATGAAAATTGCGAAATATTGCATTGGGAATATGAAATAATTAAATGTGATTGACTCTAGTGCCTTCAAAATTGACGTTTCAGTCATTTTTCATAAAATGTATCACAGTATTACGACTTTGTAGCTATCGGATTATAATATTTGCATGATACAAAGTATTCTATGAATACGAATAATTACAGAAACTAAAAACAACTTAATAAAATATATTTTACGTGTCTTACAATAGGTGATGAAATGTTTTTCCTTCACGTAGTTTGTTATAAATACAATGTAGTAAGCAACATTTGGGGTCAAGTTATAAAGAAATTAAATTATCCCTTTATTTTTGCAGAAGGATTTATTTGTTTTCAATTATATAAACCCGTTTTTTGTTTAAAAAAAGGTCACAGTTTATTTTTAGCCCAAGAAATGTACAAATTTAAACCTTTGTTGGGAATTTCCATTCGACGCTTCGGTGGTGTCCAATTCCCCCCATCTCTTAGCCATTTACAAACGGCCTTGACATTGAGAAAATCCCATAAATTGTTTCTTGACTGGTCAGGCACGGCATCACAAAAAAATAATTGCTTCATTCATTTACCCAAGGAGATTCTAATCATCAACAAGAAAAGGCCCCCAAGATTAATCTCCAAAATACATGATTCACAATTCATAAATTACTGTCGAATTTTTCAAATGAGCATAAACAAACACAAAAGGTTTGGCTTTGGGTTCTCCACTTTGTGTTTTTTTTTCGATGTCAGCACGTAACTCTATTCAAGCATGATCCAAAGTTTGTTTTGATTTGGGTTTTTTGTTTTGGTCGCGAGTTGTAAGAAAATAAAACCCAGAGAAGACTGGTTCGCAGTGGAAACCGGCTGGCCATGGCTAGAAATAGATGTATTGGCAAGAACCCGGCTTTAAATACGGGATGCGTGATGTGTCAGGGATTTCCCCAAACCAAAAAAAAAAAAATAAAGGGAACACCGATTGGCCATCGTAACACCGGACCTGCGATAAGCCGCTTAAAAACCTTCCACTCCATCTCCGCTTTGGCCATGTTTTTATCGCATTCGGCTCTTTCACCTGCCTACCCCAACATATATGGCCAACAAAGAGATCGAAAATGCGGTCAAGCAGCAGCCACAGCATCGGCTAATTGCTGTCAAAATAAGTGGACAGCCAGGGAAGATACTCGTTAAAAGGTCTTAAATAAATCAAATTATAATAAACAAGTCCGATAATTATATGTAAAAACGTGAAGCGGAAAACACTTTGGCCGTTATGTAACTTTTGACGAACGTGTGATTTGGTAGTACCTTCGTACAAACAAAAAAAAATACACAAAATTCCGAGGCAAAACAATTATAAAAGCTAACAACATTTTCTGATTGATTGAGAGAGAAATTTCAGCGCTGATGGAAAGAAATTGGCCATTAAACGAATCGGCAATAAAGTTAATCTGATTAAGTTCAATCAATGAATGGTGAAAAAGACCCCCCACAATGCTTTTAACAAAGAAAAGTTTGATTACACAATGACATGTTTGTACAAAGGTTAAATACAATGATGAGCTCGCATTGCTCAATTGTTAAAGTGCTGATATAAATACCTTTTGACATTTTATTAATTAATTAATGAACCATTAAATATCCCTCAAAATACAAAAGATTAAATAAAATACCACCCAGTTTTTTTAAGGGAAATGTTGGACTTGAAGTTGAAAAATTCGCTTTATTAATTTTATAGGAATTTAGGGCTTAGGTTCGATCATTTGATATAATCATGGTTCTACTTTCGCAAGATCTAAATTGTAAATTGATTGGGGGATCTCCAGCTACTGAAGTCATTCAAGCAGAACAGAAAGCTTACCTAGGCTGAGATCGAAATTAATATTCATTAAGTCACCGCAAAAGAAAATCGCAAAAATGAGGTGGTATTTTCAGGGAATACCCTGCTGGGATTTTAATGAAAGCTCGAATCAATTCCCATTTCCTAGTCCACATTTACTCTGAGTCATTCCACGTGATTTTGCTTTTGAAAATCAAAGAGGCAGGTTAATTGAAGTGACTTTGTGTCAAACCAATAAGTATACTCATGTCACAACAGCAAAAAAAATCGATCAGAACCACTTGAGATATGTGAAAGATGCCCAGAATTAATTGAGCTAAAAATCAGCTAAGGGAAACACCGAGCCTTAGGCAAACATTTGCGCTTTGATTGATTACTCATTTGATTTAGCAAAGACCCCGTCATTTATTAACATTTCAGTTCCGGCTGGCAGCATGGGTAATTAAAAAATTATACTGCTCATTTAATAATTAGATCTTTTTAATAGGTTTTTAATTTTTGGTCTTTCTGTTGTTTTTTCTTCTGCCTCAAATAAAGTGCCACGCTGGCGAGTACTTCATTTCTAATTAACGGAAGTACGGTAGGTCTACGCGCCCTTAAGGTACTCACAGTACATAAATCTTTAAGATTCTTTAAGTGTTGCCAAATAAAAGTCAAAGTCATGGGGAAAAGATAAAGGAGGATGTCTGCTTTAGTTTAAAATTGTGAGAAGTATGAATACTCTTTAATATAAAATTGAGTGTAAAAATTTTTAATTCTGAAATAAAATTATGAAACACTTTTTTCTATTTATACAACATTTTAATACTTACTCAAAGGAACTGATTGTCCTTATTTATCTGAAGGATATTAGTTATTTAGAACATCGAACCGAATATTTCAAATATATACAATTTATATTATATAGAATTTAATTTATTCATAACAGAATTAAAAACTTTAATGCCACGAAGAAATGTTCTTGCTTATTCAAACTTGTTGATCGTGGTAATCAACCTTGTTTTGAAGGATAACTTTTATATCGAGCTCACTCCCGAGGAAACGGAAGCATAAACACAACTTGATGTGCATGAAAAATGTCTTGCGCCATTTCTTTCGTATTTTCCTCCCCAGCTCCACTTTAATGCCCTTGCTTTTCATAATTTATGCGCAGTTTTCTTTATGTGTGCGACTCCATTGGACTTTGGCTTTTGGACACTGGACTCATTGGCGGACGTGAGCTTGTGCCTCTGTGTGTGTGTGCGTGCGTGTGTGTGTGTTTAAGGAACAGCGTGCTAATTAATTAAATTCGTACGTGCCTTGTGAGTGTGTGTGAATGTGTTTCATTTTCTGTGTTTGTGTTTGAGTGTGCGAGTGTCTTGAGTTGAGCCGGCGAATCAACTTGCTGGCCATGTGCTGATAGGACCAAAAGCACTGCCCCACATACACACACATATACACAGAAGCGCATACGGAGCGTATGAGTGATATTTACAGTCAGGCCGTAAATCATACTTAACTTAATATACAATATATACCCTCATATGTTGCCCTTTTTCGGCCATGTGCGTGCTGCCTTCTTTCGGCTGTCGAGTTCAATACAGGATGCTGGCTTAATGCGGTTATAGGGTTATAGGGTTAGAGGATATTTCCATTGATTGAGTTTGGCAGCAACAAGAAGAAAAACAATTTGTGTAATTGTTATTGTTTATTAGCAGAAACCTTGATTAGGCAGAAGAGTGGAAAGGGAATTAATAAGGATTGATTAGTTATTTTCATTGGCAATGGAAGTTATAAATGATTCAGTGAATCGCTGTGAAATAAATGTATTGAATTCAATTGTACTCCTTAGAGAAAAGTATTTATTTTATAATGGATTCAAGCAATAATTTGAATGCATATATTATTAATTAATGATTTCATAAGCAAGCCGTGTAACGTAAATGTTTGAACTTTATTTAAAAATGCAAAGTCATTCGACTTTTAACTGGCCTTGAACCAGTGCAAAACCTTTCTTCTCGCCCGCAATATATATATGTATATACCTGAAATGGCTTCAATAAAAAATAATACAACATCTTTAGTGGCAAGGAACTCGTTTTATTAACAATCAACAAGACCATCTGCCGAGCCAGTCAAATATAATTGGTACAATAAGAAACATATTTCAATTAAATTGGAAATTAAATGCTGCAATCAGCAGCTGAATAAATACATATAATAACATTATTAAGTGTAATTGAACCCACAACTTGTACTAATAATAGTCGATGTTCCCTTTTATGTGTGTCATTTTCAGGCAATTTGTGGCTAAAATCAACAACAACTTCCGCATAACCATAAACAATAACAGCCAAAAATATTCAATAAGAGACCATCATAGTCGAAAAAAAGGCAGCCAGCAACAATTGGAATAAAACCAAAACAATAACCCGCAATTGTATGAGCGTAAGCCATAATTATGACCAAATGAGCCAGCCCACAACAACAAAAGCAAAAGCAACAAGAAGACTAAGCAAAACCCGCAACAACATCAAAATGAGTTTAACAGAATTATCTTGGTTAACAGTCGTCTTAACAGCACTGCTGCAGTTTATGAGTCATGCCAGTGGCTCGCAAACTGTAAACGATTCAGCAGGTGAGTGCAACTAAAACTACAAATTACAAGTATAATTAAATATTTAAGTTCATAAAAAAGGTTAACTGTTTTTTAATGTTTATTTAGGGACCGGAATTTAATTTTTTTTTATTATAATTGACCTAAATTTACGATGTCCACTTATATTTAGTACTTTCAAGCTTTGAAACAAATGAAGTACAATATAAAACTCAAAGAAAGTTCTATATTTTTCTTATAAAAAATATTTTCTTATATGAAAAAATGTTTTTCCCACTCAACTCTGTAGTTATTTTCTCAGTTTCAATTAAACTTAAGAGGCATGTAATCCGTCAGAAGCTTCACGTGGCAATTAACGTCGAGCGACCTTGGCCAACATTAGTGCCGGCCAAAGCATTAACACCAAGTAAAAATATACACACTTACATTTCCTTTAGACAATGTAAACACCGGCTGGCACTCACATGCGAAAATTAAGTATCTGCCCACCTGGCATGTGAATTTGCGTAAGTCCGGCAAACAATCAGGCAAATGCTTGATGGTTAAAACAAACGTCGGCAGGCAGGCAATCATAATAATGGCCATAACGAGCCAATAAACGATGCAGCCCAGCGCAGAAACCCCCCACACATACACTCACTTCGAATGAACAAAAAAAAAACAGTCAATAAACGCGGCCTTAATGCTTAACTGACAGACAGCCAGCTAACGGAGTTGGCTATATGTGCGAGCTACGTGCAGCACTCGCCTATAGTATAATTTATATGCCAAACAGCTGCTGACATCGACAAGTCTCCCTTAAAAACGGGGAAAAATAAAAGAAAACCAGGATGAACCTGAGTCCCATATGCCTCAAGCCCATATTTCACTTCACGACAAAACTGTTGATTCGTTCATGAATAATGTGTTTTGTTATTGAGGAGGGTTTTAAGTTCCGTCTTGGAAGAATGCGTTCTCCAAGGAAATCCAATAAACTTCTGCTCTTAAATTATCCTCGCCATTAATATGTCTATTATTGCTAACTATAAATCATAAAGCAAAACGAGCAGGCACATATGCACTTTTATGAATGAAATATTAATTTAGATTGACAGATCGCGTGCTTCTGAGAGTTGCAAACTAAAATTTATTTGTAGTTGACCGAGTTCTTAAAGCTAAAAATAAACGTAAACAAAATATTCTAAAATACACCGGTTAGCTTAAAAAATTGGCATTTTACAGTGCAGATTACCTCCTTACCAGAAATTAAAAACTTTATAATAATAAATTAATAAAGTATAAATGGTTTGACTACATTTCTAAATTTAAATCTGTATTTTTAAACTAAAGAAACTTGTTTTTTTCCTTGTGATTGCAGGCCATATATCTTTATATTACGAATTAGTGGAGACCTTTCTTTCAGCTTTAAAAAGTTCTTATCAGCTTATCTGACTCGTAATCTTAATTTCGTGCTGTCGTTAAGTTAATTGTTCTTTAATGTGAGTGTGTATTTAACAGTGATTTTCCGATTGGCAATGGTCATTGTTTTCTTTGGTTCGTTGTGCTGATCAGGATTGCGAAATAATTTTATTAGTTCGGCTTAGCCGTTTTCATGGTCAATATCTTTATGGGCCTATGGCGGAGTCTATGAAGATTAGCTGAGCACTTGAAAAGTCCGACAAATATGCCGGCAATATAGGATTGCAAGCCCACGTTGAATCATTTCGAATTAGCAAAGGGAAAACACTAAACTTTAGTTATCTGTGAAAATTATAAGCTTCGCTTACTAGCGGGTCAACTTACCCAGGTTGATCCGGATCTTGATCGCATTATAATTCGTACTTTATTGCCTTGTTGAGTGTGTGTGCAGTCATTTGCATACGAATGTCGACACCTGTCGCATTCTTTATATACAATAAAAGTAGGTATCCGCATATAATGGATAAATAATGTCAGTCCAATTAGGTTTACGCTGTTTAAACAAGATTTTTTTGCTTGTTTATTTTTTTTTGTGACAATTTTAGATTTATAGCTGAAGCGCTTTATAAAAGGGTTTTAATATTTTGCTTGAAGAAAACATTTACATTTTATGCGTAATACAGAATTGTATCTTTATCTGTAAGAACAAATTCGTAAATCCCATTTTAATTCTCACTTTCACAATAATTAACACCTGTCTGTCTAATCATTGTGACTCAGAGTTCAAGGCACCCGAGGCCAAACAATTAGCACGTGTAATGAACATTTATGAACTAATAATAGCACTCTGATTTCTGTCTGTACGAATGTAGGAATACCCAAGTGTGAAACTAAGCCAGGCATTCAATTAAATGAGCTATAAATTGCGAATCTCAGGCGCGTGATATGCCGGCAAAGAGACAACAAAAAAGTGTTTTGGTCTCAAATTGTTTGCATTCGTATTTGTCTTTTCTTTTCGGCTTTTTTTTATATACGACTCAGTGAATTATATTTGCGAAAGGTTTAAGTATCACTAAACAATTGTTTGCTTGGCTTAGCAAAAACAAAGCTTAGCAATTGCCGACACCAAATTTTTCCTTGAGGTGCCTAAATTATATGATAAATATGTAAGAGATATTTACTAGATTATTTGATAAATATGTTTCTTGGTTCTTTAGGAATTTAAAGATTATAAAGTAGGCAGTAGATACTAAAGGAATATTCCATTGATTTCTATTTTAAAATAGATCATTTGAGTAAACCTTAACTAAACAGTTTTTCTTTGACTTTTCAGCTGAAAATACCATCTGTCTGTACCAAGAACATAATAGCACTTATCGCAAGGAAATTGGAGCCGTGTGGTTTGACGCCAAGGATCCTTGTTTGGTGTATTCCTGTGCTGCTGGAGTGGCCAAGGATCCTCAAGCTCATATTGTGGTTACTCAGGTGGATTGCAATGAGTTCTACTGCGAAGTGGTAAGTTGGAAATGGAAACCTATCTCAAAGATTTTATTTTCTAATATTAATTTCCAATCCATTAGGGCTCTGAATTACGTAGCGTCCAAGGCAGTTGTTGTGGGGAATGTGTGAGAACCCATTGTCAGCACAATCACACTTTGTATGCAGTGGGAGAATCCTGGCACAATGACGCCGATTGTACTCTCATTGAATGCGGACGTCTGGACAATGGACAGATTATTATGAATACTTACAAGAGGAACTGTCCTGCATTAACTGAAGATTGTCCAGCTTCGAGATTGGAGGAGCGGAACTGCTGTCCCTACTGCAGACCTTTGCAAACAGCCAGGATTGAGGAGCTCCAGGATACTGGCGAGGAGACTTCGGAGGATATTTGGACTGCAGAATGGTATCGAAAGCATCCCTGCAATCGGGATTGCCAAATTGGTGCCGAACCCATGACCTGTCGGTATAATTTTGTGGTGGAATGGTATCAGACTTTTTCGAAAGCCTGCTTCGATTGTCCTCGAAATCTGACGGATTGCTCTCGACCACATTGCGTAATGGGTGATGGTCTGGAACGAAGTATCACTGTGGTGAATCGCATGATGCCAGGACCATCGATTGAGGTCTGTGAAGGAGATCAAATAGTGGTGGATGTGAAGAACCATTTGCTGGGCGAAAGTACCTCGATTCACTGGCATGGCTTGCACCAGAAGAAGACACCCTATATGGATGGAGTACCCCACATAACCCAATGTCCTATAACCCCTCATGCAACCTTTAGATACTCTTTCCCCGCCGATCTCTCAGGAACTCATTTCTGGCATTCTCATACAGGAATGCAAAGAGGAGATGGTGTTTTTGGTGCTTTAATCATTCGAAAGCCCAAGGCAGTCGAACCCCATGGAGGACTCTACGATTTCGACTTAAGCGATCATGTAATGGTTCTCCAGGATTGGATTCATGACACGGGTGCCAGTATATTTTCCTATCATCATCATTCGAGAGGTGATAATAAACCCCACAATCTACTTATAAATGGAAGAGGACGTTACTACAATCGAATTTGGGCGGAAGCTAAGCAAGCTCATCAAAGAACTGAAGGGAGAACCACAACACCCGTGGAGCCACTGCCCAAATCCCAAGTAGATTTTGTACAAACTCTGCCAAGACAAGCTCGCTTGGCCAAAACGAATACCACAAAGCTATTTCCGGTAAATTCCCGCCAAAAGAGGGGAAATCTTAATGAGATACCACTGGAATTAGTGCCCCATCAGGTTTATACAGTGAGAAGAGGTTTTCGTTATCGCTTCAGGATCATTAATGCCGAGTACCTCAATTGTCCAATTTTGGTTTCTATAGACGGTCATAACCTCACAGCAATTAACTCGGATGGATTCGATATCGAAGCTATGGATGTGGGCTCTATAGTTACCTATTCCGGCGAGCGATTTGATTTTGTGCTGAATGCCAATATGGAGGTGGGAAACTATTGGATTCGATTAAAGGGTTTGATGGACTGCAGTGAGGTCTTCACATCCGCTTTCCAAGTGGCTATCCTCCGATACGAAGGAGCTCCGGATGAAGAACCTACTGCGGAATTAAGTTACGGCTTCAAACCAGAAGGCATTGAACTGAATGTGATGAATAGGGGTCCTGGATATCCGGACACCAAAACCGTGGCGGAAATGAGAGCTCTGCCGATCTATGATCATGTATCTGGCATTGATCGTGATACCCTAAAACCAGAAGCAGACTACAAGTTCTTTATTTACTACGATTTTTACACCAAAAACAATCCCGATTTCCATAATCAGGATTTGTATCCTATGGAAATGGAAATGACCCAACAGAATCGACTTTACACTCCTCAACTCAATCACATAACCCTGGATTTCCCTTCAATAGCACTGCTTCCTTCGAGAAGTCAGCTGAAGGATTCAGATTTTTGTAATGAAACGAGTTTGGCAAATAAAGGAATCGATTGCCGCAAGGAGTTTTGCAAGTGCCACCATGTTCTTCAGGTTCCTTTGGGTGCAGTTGTTGAGATGATCATCGTGGATGAGGGATTCCAGTATTATGCCAATCATCCGTTCCATTTACATGGCAATGCCTTTAGAGTCATGGGATTGGAGCGATTGGGAGAAAATGTTACCATTGAAATGGTGAGTAATAATAATATTATATATTTTAATTACTTAAGTATTTATTTGTTCTTTTTTTTATAGATTAAACAACTAGATCAATTCAACTTACTCAAACGGAATCTGGACAATCCACCAGTGAAGGATACAGTCACCATTCCAGATGGAGGTTATACCATTATAAGATTTGAAGCTTCTAATCCGGGATATTGGCTCTTCCACTGTCACATTGAATTCCATGCGGAAATTGGAATGGCTCTGGTTTTCAAAGTGGGTGATGACGATCAAATGGTTCCGGTACCCGAGAATTTCCCCACCTGCGGCGATTATAATCCCGACTTGAAGTCTAATGGAGGAACTACCGAAGATTCCGAAAAGAAAACAACCACACCAAGTCCATTAAATGGTGGTGGATCGGGATTGGAACCCACTTTATTGACTCTGATCATTGGATTCTTACTGCTCAAACGTTATCGATAAAAAAAGGCATAAGAAAGAGAGCTTAACCCAAAACTTGCCAACCGAAATATAGAGATTAATTATGGACGATGATATATACCTTGATGTGAAGTTGTTTGTATTAATATAGAAAATAATTGTTCTCTTGCATTTGTATATATTCCATAAAACGCATCGTTGTAACCTAAACATCTGTGATTGTCTAAGAAAATGTTGAAATAAGTAATTGAAATTGTACTAAATATATGTGTAGCACTTATTTAATAAAATCTATTAATGTTTGTTTTTAAGAGATTTAAAATGCAATACTATTAATAGATAAAGTTGAAGATACCTGCAAAATGTTCTGATGAGTTTTTATCAATCCTTCCAACTTTTAAATTTAATTGGTGCTTATCTGAAATACATTTGGGAAAACCTTGTTTCTGATGCAACAGTTCCTAATCATTGCAACATTGTATTCAGTCAATTTTTAAAGTTTATAATGAGGAACCTAGTCGAAACGATGATGTGTTGTCAGGTGGCGAGGGATCGGCTATTTCAGCCAACGCCCTCGGATCGTCGATAGCGATTCTTATCTTGTCTTCACTGGCAACAGCTGGTGACGAACTTGTTGTCGTCTTTTCCAACTCGAAGTATCAATATATTCAGGGATCCTGATCTCGAACCCCGCTGACCCGGCGAAAGATAGCCGAAATTATGGCGGTGTTATTGCATTTCGAATCAAAATAATTAAACCAGATGCGCGGGACATCTGGACTCCGTGCATCTGGTGCATTATATAAGCACAGCCTCTGACTATTGCAGCATCAGACGGAGACAGTCAGTCATCCCACAACCATCCAATAAGAGTCTATTCAGTTACCTGAAACAAAAAACCCAACCTTGAGCCAAAATGTTCGACTGGACCGGTAAGAATGTTGTCTACTCTGGCAGCTTCAGCGGAATCGGCTGGCAAATGATGATGCAGCTGATGCAGAAGGACATCAAGATGATGGGCATAATGCACCGCATGGAGAACGTCGAGATGATGAAGAAGCTGCAGGCCATGAATCCCTCGATCAAGGTTGTCTTCATGCAAATGAACCTCATGGAGAGGATGTCGATCGATCAAGCGATGAAGAAAATGGGCCAGATGATGGGCCACATCGATGTGCTGATCAATGCCGAGAATGTGCTGCTCGACAAGGATATTGAGATGACGATGGGCATGAACCTGGTAAGGATTTAACCAATTTTCAATTGCAACAGTTAAATTATAAAAGGAGCAATCCGATTCCAAAAAAAAAAAGGTTTAACTTAAACTCATTCATTTAAATCTATTGAAAATATTATATTATATTATATTTTTATATTTTGTATATTAATTTTTAAGCCTTTCCTTATAAATCTTCTTCCTCAGACTGGCATGATGCACGCCACCATGATGGCCATGCCCTACATGGACAAGACCCAGATGGGCAAGGGTGGCATGGTGGTCAACATGTCCTCCGTCTACGGATTGGAGCCCTCTCCCGCCTTCGCCGTTTATGCTGGTGCGATGCACGGCATCCTGGGTTTCACCCGTTCGATGGGTGACAAGATGATCTACCAGAAGACTGGCGTTATGTTCATGGCGATGTGCCCCGGTCTCACGAACAGTGAGATGATGATGAACCTGCGCGACAACGTCACCTGGCACCACTCCGAACCGATGGTGGAGGCCATCGAGAGCGCCAAGCGCCAAATGCCCGAGGAGGCAGCCATGCAGATGATCCACGCGATGGAGATGATGAAGAACGGCAGCATGTGGATCGTCAGCATGGGACAGCTCAAGGAAGTCATGCCCCAGATGCACTGGCAGATGTAAATGGTCCAGCTAATAAAGACAGCCACGTTTCAGAGATTGCAAAATATGTGTTTCTATAAAACATTTTTAGTTTTTATACCCTTACAATTTCAGTCAGAAGTTTGCAACACAGTGAAGGAGACTCCTCAGATTCCATAAAGTATATATATACTTAATCAGCATCACGAAATTTTCTTATAAATCAGCTACCATTTCCAAATACTTCAGTATATCAAATATATAAAACAAACTAGGAGTTCAACTAAAATCTTGAAAAATTGTCGTGAAGAATTTCTATAATATTTTTTCTAAATTTTCAAAGCTAGTGTTATTTGTGAAAACATTTGTAATGGCGGATCAAGAGCCGACAAGTTCCCTTTTCCCTGGAACAAATAAATTTAGTAGCCCGAATCCTTGTTGTTCGAAAGAGTTAAGACTGAAAAACTATTCGAAAACGGCTTATCCCAGTAAAAAGCATCGCCAATCCTCGAAGCGCAGCGGAACTTATCGAAAAATTATCAATTTTAAATGGTCATCGGGAGCACAAAAAAGTCAACGCAGTCCGATGTTTTTAAGACACCTTGTCCACAAATTAAAGCTGTATAAAAGGGATTTGGGAAAATCCTCCCGGCCCCTATTTAAGGCTGTTATTTTGAAGGAGATGATTAGGTTGGGAAGGCGACCAAATCCAAGGTTCTTAAAGGATGTACAGCGCGCCATGTGCATACCAAAATGTAATAAAACGAAAAATGTTACGGAAAGTTGTGCTAACCAGATGTAAGTACAGTATTATCTTTAAAATATACATAATATTAACTTTAGAATAATTCCAATATAAAGTTCTTCCATGGAAATTGCCGAGATTTCTCAAGTGAAACCTAGCTGCGAACCCACACTTTTGGAACCGAAAATCGATTTATTTGCATCTCCCTTGATGGAGAATGATGAATCCGGGACTGCTGAAGTTTTCCCACAAAATAATTTGCAACCATCAGAATTAAATTTAGATGACCAGTGTATAGAAGTTCTATCCAAGCTCAGTATTTAATCGACAACAACAAATGAAGAAACTAATAGAAGTGATCTGAAGGACTCGTTTTAACCTTTTAATCATTGTACTTACAATACCGAGAATATGTTACTCAAAAATTTAATAAGTAAAGCAAGCGCTGATTTCGTAATTTGGTTTTGTAATTTTTATTCAAAGGTTGTACAGGTAAATGTTTCCCAAAAATCAGTTTTCATCCAGAATTGGGTATCACAAATATTAAATACTTAATATTAATTTATAAATATACTATCACATGGTAAAACCGAAGGAATATTATCGTATAATAGTTTTATAATATATTTAGATGGAATTATGTACATACATATATGTACATATATTTATTGGCAATCAGTTTTCTCCATCCTGCGGTTAAGTTCGTCATCAATGTCAGCCTGTTTAAAGCTATTATTCCGGACAAAAAATTCGTCGAGTATCTTGGCTTGGCAGCGGCCTACCTCCATCATGGATCGCCAGTCGGCTACATTTTGGGGCTCCTCTTGATTCTCCAGTTTAGCATACAGCGGTTCCATGGGGCAGTTGTAGTGACGCGAGTTGGCCATCACATTTCTGGCTGTGTTGATAACATAATTGCAGACCGCACACTCAAACTTTTGAAAGAGTGATCCCTCCGGAGATGAATCGCCAATATGGTATTGACGCGTAATCAGATTGTGGAGCAGTCGTTGGTTCGAGATTGGTTTACGCCAATTTATTTTGTGGCTGCGATACGAATCGTATTCGGTTTGGTTGTCGCCCAACTCATTTAAAAACTTTGCCAATGCACGCGGATGTGGAAAATCATCAACATAAATCGCTGACTTTTTGTTCGGCTGCCAGTCCTGAAATATTAATGGAAAACAATTATAGAGATTATTATAAAAGATAGGTATCAGAACTACTTACCTTAATCGTGGGTGATCCGAAGTAAATGGGAACCACGCCCATTACCAAAGGTCTCCAGAACTTTTCGGTAATGTAATCGGGACAGGCAGCATTCTCAAAGGCAATCATAAACTTGTATTCGGACAGGAAACGCATCAACTCCGGTGAGTAAAGATTATTCAAGTAATCCTTGTTCAGGCTGCAACAAAACGAACGAAGAGTTTTAATATAAAAAGCATTTAAAGAGTTCCATTTTGGAAGCTAAAAAGTGATTCCTCGGACACTTTAAAATCTTCGCTTTTTATTTCGGGAAGAAGAAGGTGCGTCACAGTCTTTATCCGATTCGCTTTCATCTTTATTTCCTTTGGAATTTCGCGTCCTTTTTAAGGATCCTTCTTGAGTCGAACGACAACTGCAGTTCCTGGGGGGCACTCTTTGGTTTAAAGGTTCGGCAATCGGATTGCAACGCGGACATGGTAACGATCCGTACAACTGCACCCAACACTCTGTACAACAGATCTTGGTATGCTGATTGGTGTTTGAAGTCATGATTGTTGAATGTTTTTTTAGTTAAGCAATCGTATGTTTTGTGAAGGATGTTTTTGGGGTAATGAGTAAAAAAGTACAATTTAAAGAAGTCAAAAAAGGAGTAGCCTACTTGCCTTTCGGGCAGATCTTTGTTGCGCAGACAGCTGCCAAAGGAATCAATCGTCATATGCTTCATCAGCTCCTTCACGTAATCCTCCCTGCCAGACATTGTGTCGCAATCACTTTGCAGAAAGGCCACAGTTGCCGATGGACGATGAAGCCACTTGGACTTTCCGGCAAACGAAACGTGGTAATCCCTGGAGGTGAGCGCTTGTCCACTGGGTAAGTACTGTGTGGTCAGCGGTAAGGTGCTGAAGCGGCTGAACGTCGAGGTGAAGTGGAAATGCCGGAGAAACTCCTCGTGGGGAACAAACGGAGCGTTCCTGGGGGATTCTTCGTGCAGTAATGCCCACACTTGATGCTTGCCACGCGGTATTGGAAAGTCCCCCGTCTTCATGTTGGAGCCATAAAACAAAACACCCTGAAAGATATGTTTATTGAGTTAGGAGTGTTATTAAATTGTTTGCTAATTTAAATTGCAATTACGTTACAATATTTACATATGTATATGTAGCAAGTAAAAGGAAGTGAAAATACTTAAGATATTTAACAACTTTGAAAAGATTTAGGTACAATTAAAAGCTCACATACCATCGGTACATTTTGTAGATAACTTTCAGTCAATAAACTATTATAAAGAGCAGCAAAATTATATTATCAAAACATTTAAAACAAATCATAATAAAGCCTAATCAAACTTGACTAGAAATATAACACAAAAAGCCTGATAAAACTTAATGCTCAATTTTATGAAATAGAAGGTCTGGGACTGGGATTAGACTCCAGCATCTCAGCGAATTGGATCACCATAATATTCTTATTCTTATCACGAAAACAGCCGGATGTCGACTTAGAAATTTAGACTTTTGTATTTATTCAGACGAACCCGAGCCATTGGAAGACGACTGCGTTTGTTGGTGATGCGACACGTGTTGATGCCGCAGTGGCGCTCCTCGTCGTAGCTCCATGACATATCCCTCGACCACCATAGTATCTCGACAGGATCCTTATGACTGCTATTGTCGAAGTACGTTATTTTTTCCGTGCAGTAAAAGAGGAATGTAAGCCAAATAGCGATCAGCACAGCCAGTGCAACGCAATAGCGGCCTGCCAGTCTCATGTTAACATCAAGGATAGAAAGATATTGGGATAATACTAGTTTCGCCGCGCACTCTCCTTGCGAATTTAAAAAGCCGGTGCGCCGGAATTCCCGTGGAGCTGAATTTTGTCTGCCAGCTGATTTTTGCTAACAAACAGTGTTAGGAAACGCCGATTTGTTTTAGGCGTATTTCACATGTAACTACTGAACCCCTCCGCATTAAGTTATTTGATATATATATATGTTTTTTAAATATATATACTTTTTATAATAACTTGTCTTAATTGTTAATGTTTAATTAGCCCTGATATTAGCTTATCAGACTTATAAAATGTTTGGTAGTATGTTGTCATGGTTGGTCTTATGTCAAGACCGCCTTAAACATGTAATACACATTTTCTTAATAAAAAAAATTTAAAAAAAAGCTCAAATTTCAGGTACTAATAGTTCCACAACTATATTATCATTTCGTTACCTTTCTTTTAATAAATTTAAGTAACCATCATTCCATTCCAGCATCATGCCGATTGCCAGCCCTCGCAGCTGTCATTCAGCCCGCTGACGCTTCGCAACACTGCAGTTTGTCATAATATTGTTCCACTTAAATTGCTCAATTAAGCGACCGAAGCAACAGAAACAGCCAGAAATCAGACGAAATGTGCCCAATCCATCTGTAATAAACAGCCACCGATAGTGGAGCAACCGCGTGACGACCAAAATGCAACATCTGCCAAAAAGGGCCGTCGAGCGAAGGTAGAAAGCAAATATTGACATAACACGTCGACGTTTGGGAGCAGCTAAAACCAAACAGGGAAACCATACGGCGCTGAATTTTAGCCGCAGAGCATGTGTTATGGCCACGACAAGATCCACAGGGGATGCCGCCACGTCCGCTGATTCGGGGACGGGATCCGGATCTGGATCGTTAACCTCTGGGACCAGGAAATTGTCAACGGCAAGTGGGAGTGGAATCGCAGGAGGAGCGGCTCCCAGTTGGCAGAGCTGCTACTACTGCACCCGGGAACAGTTCAAGACCATCAGCGACTTTGTCAAGTGAGTGCCGTTCGTAGCCATCAGTTCATAGGAAGCCTTAATTATAACTGGGGTTTCGAGCCAAAATTGCTTTTATCTTAGCCGCACATGTGTGAGTTCCAATGACAAATTGCAAGCAGGTAAAATAGGCTGGGAGCAGGTAGGAGTAATTAAAATGTACCCACACCTTGTAGAACTTCAAACTACAAGACTGTATCGGAAGGAACATAAATTGTTTTCCGACCGTGAAATTGAAAAATCTCAAACACCTGCTAACCTAATTATAGGCTAGTAAAAATGTACAATATATTAACAAAAATTACATGTATTAATTTGAGTTAAATAATTTAGACTACATGTACACGTACACAAATTTAAAAATTTCAAATTACTAGTAGAGTTGATGAATAATCAAAACTTGACATGTTATTTAAAACAACTAAACTTATTTCCCCATTACCCGTTTCAGTCATCTTCGAAATCGTCACTGCACCCGCGAAGGCGGCTCCTTCGTCTGTCGCTATGGCTTCAATGGAGTGTGCGCCTCCCTGCCACTGGACGGCGTCTCAGATCGCGACTACGACGCCCATGTGGCCAAGTACCATGTCAACCAGCACACGCGGGAGATGCCCCCCGAATGGGGGAGTCTACTCGGCCGCACAGAATCTGCCGGCAGTGCTCAACGATCCCTCCCGCGGCAAGCAGAGCAATCTGTTCACCAAGAAGTGGGGCGAGCACTTCGTGGAGCGAGCACCGGCTCCAACTTCCCGATTGCCGGATATAACCCATGCGGACTTCGCCGTGTATCTGGGCAGCATCGGGAAGCGATACCGCTGGCACGAGCGTCGTCAGCAGCAATTGGAGCGCGATAAACCGCTGGAGAATGGCGCACAAGGGGCGACTGGACCGGCAAGTGGTGGCCAGACACCCACCCACCTGAGTTCGGTGCCTGAAATCTTTCTTAAATCACAGCTGCAGCTGCATCACCCGGCCACCTTCAAGCAGGTATTCCCGAATTACATGCAAACATCGGCTTCCAGTCCAGAAACCCATCAGCAAACTGGCCGCCAGCTGCAGGAACAGCTGAGTCACTATCTGGACATGGTGGAGGTGAAGATAGCACAGCAGGTTTCGCAGAAATCGGCTGCATTCTTTCACGCCATGACCACGCAGCATGCTATTCTGGCGGAAATGGAGCAGGCGGCCGACCAAGTGCGTCAGCTGAGGGCAGCGCTGGCCCAACTGCACAGCCATTCGGTTGTGGACAGCTTTAAGGTGCTGCGGTTTGCCCAGAGAAGACAGCACTACAACCTCACGCTGGACAAACTGCGACTGATGGCCACCGTGCACAAGACGCAACCGATGCTGCAACTTCTTCTGGGCACCCAGGACTATGTGGCTGCCTTGGATTTGATTGGAACCACCCAGGAGATCCTCTCTGCTGAGCTCCTCGGCATTCACTGTTTTAAGCACCTGCCGATGCAGCTCAGCGAAATGGAGAAGCTGATCGACAAGATGCTGACCACGGAATTCGAACGCTATGCTGCCGCCGATCTCAATCGACCGCTAACGGATGCCTTGCGGGAAACGGACAGCGTTTGCGCCGAAGAGGACAAGCTGGTGGCCATTGTTATGGGTCTTCTGCGCAAGCAGAACTTTTCGTTTGTCCAGTCTTATCAACAGGAAGCCATCGCCACCATTCGAGCCATCATCAAACAGCTGCTGATTGAGGTTCTGGCGCGCAGTGACAGCGATCAGGAGATCAGTTTAACTGGTCACGGTGAGCAGGCATTGGAGCTCACTCTGCCCGAATGGATTTCCCTCCTTCAGCGATCCAGTCAGGCGCTGGTTTCCATTCTCGAACGCATTAAAACTGTAGTCGGTATTATGCAACAAACAGCAGACGCAGCTGTGGGAGCCCAGGACGCAGTGAATCTGATAGATTCGGAGGCCTTTCTTAGTCCGGGACACCATGAGCAACTGAACTCACAGTTGCAGCAGCTCCTGCAAGCCGTCTGCCATTACTGCCATGAGCGTTGTGCCAACATTGTTTCCCCTCAGAGTTTGGAAAAGAGTTCAGCGAGCGAGCAGGAGCTCTTGCAACTCTCCGAGATCGTAGAACAGTTTGGCGAGACGACGCGGAGCATTTGTGGAGTGGCCAGTGTGCCGCTTCAGTTGGCTTTAAAAGTCCAGGCCTCGCGATACGCTCAAAGATTCCATTCCGAACGGAAGCAGAAACTGTCCCTACTTTTGGATCAGGAGCGTTGGCGACAGGTGGATATACCGCATGAGTTCCAGAGGATCATCGAACGCATGGCCGCAGGGGACTATGCAAAACCAGAGATGGGTAATCTAATAAGCAATGGAGCTGGGAATCCCGTGCTTTTGGTGGAAGGAAAGCAACCGTATACATTGGTCAGCGCTTCTCTCATGCTGATTCGAATGCTGTATGAATACGGAGGAAGTGCCCATAGGCTGCCGTTGCTGGCCAGCTATCATGCCCGAAATGTGGTGGACCTGCTGCGATGTTTCAACTCACGAAGCTGTCAACTGATCATTGGAGCAGGAGCAATGCGGGTGGCTGGGCTAAAAACCATCACAAGCACCAATCTAGCACTAGTTTCCCGAGCACTGCAATTGGTTCTCTGGCTGCTGCCCAAACTTAGAGAACACTTCCAGGCGATGAGTGGCTACGAGGCCATCGAGCGTGATTACCAGGGTCACATCAAGGAGATCGAGAACAAGATACACGGTATCGTCTCCGAGAGATTGGCAGCCCAGCTGGAAGCGTGGGAGGCGCGACCACCGATACCTTCCCAGACCTTCCGTCACATCTCCCGCCATCTGGTGAAATTGCACGAGGCGATTGCAGGAGTGCTGCCAGAGGCACAAATCCACGAGATCTACGGCGTGGTGCATCGAAACTTCAAGGACAAGCTGCGGGAGCAACTGCTCAAATTGAATGTGAACAACAACGGGGGTCCGCAGCACGGTGTTGTCACCTCGGAGCTGACCTTCTACATGGAAACGCTGCGCACACTGAAAGCCCTGCCCGCCGATCAGCTGGACAACGGCATTCTGGAGGAGATCTGGCTCTACTGAGCATTCCGAAGTATTCCATATGGACGACGTGGTCATCCTTCGACCGCCCAGCCTAGTTCGTCTTCATTGTTTGTTATCCTTGTTTTATTTATACGATGGCGATTTGGATGCGACCAATCTGTCTATTTTGTTTGCCCTCTGTACATTGCTTGTACTTTTATGTTCCGCCCTAGCAGAAGAAAATGGGAAATATGCCTCTTTTGTTGCGCACTTTTTATAACACTTAAGCTTAAAGTCATTGGAAAGGCTTATGATTAAAGAATTATAGATTAATCAAAACATTTAAAATTTGTTCTTATCAATGGCGGAATAACTAAATAATTGGGCCTTGGGTTCCTTTTATTAGTATTATTGGACATTAGATAAGTTTGAGTTGTATGTTTAAGTAAACGATGTTAAAAAGCATAAAAAACTTCAAGTGATTCTTATTTTCTTTTTTAACATTTTAAATTTAACTTACATGTAACGGTTGCATTGTCATTCACATCGCAGAGTTGCCAGACTGCCGCAGTTGCCACTGGCAACCGTTAAATATGCCAAACAAAACGAAATAGTTTTCGGCTTTTTTAATGCGATGCGCTTGCCGCAAATTTTCCACAGCCTTCACAAGCGATTTCAAAAAATGTTTGAAAAGACTAACGGAGGCGGCGACAGTGTCACGCCCAGCATTCAGGATATCGCCGGTCGACTGGCGGAGGAGCAACTGCGTCTTCGTCAACTGGAGGCCACAACAATGCCCAAGGAAAGAACAATTCTCGTCTTGGGCAGCAAATGTGTGGTGAGGGCTTAAAAGTGTATTTATTTATAAAAAGATCCTATCAAAATGTATCCTTTTAAAGAAACTTAAATAGGATAAATTAACTTTGCTTTATATTTTACGTAAACTTACCGCAATTTCAGTACGGTAGAATCCTGTTATAACGACTCCGCTTATAGTGTCCGTCCGGGTATTGCGACGAAAACTCGATGGCTTGATTGGTCCCCAGACAGACTTTTACACTTAAATCCTTCTGCTTAGTGCGTCTTCCGGGTATAACGACGAAAAATCGGTCCCTTGAAAGTCGCTATAAGCGGATTCTACTGTATATTTAAATATTTTTTGATCCAACATATTAGTAAACAATTTTCGTTACGCTTTAGGGAAAGACTACAGCTATTAATAAGTTTTTCGATCGCGAGGAACACGCAACTCGTCCTACTCTTGCCCTGGAATATAGTTTCGGTCGGAGAATCGGCAGTGGAAAGGCGCCTCAAGTAATGAATGTTTGGGAACTAGGATCCCTGGACAATGCTGAGCAACTACTGGAAGTTCCCATGAGGACACATGGTCTGCAGCAACTGGCCGTCTTTATAATGCTGGATCTATCACAACCACAGCGATTTTGGTCAGATTTGGAACGTGCCTACAAGGGATTAAGGGATACGGCGCAACAAATGATGCAGAATATTACACCGGATCTCAGGGAAATCCTGGAACAGCGAACATTGGAAAGACTGGGTCAGCAGAATCAGGACGATCTGGGAAACCTCGAGCCGCTTCCGTTTCCAGTGGTAATTGTGGGTGGGAAATACGATATGTTTTCTAGTTTCGATCCAGCTATTAGAAAACACACCTGTCGCTGCTTGCGATCTATGGCACATTTGATTGGTGGGGCAGTCCTTTTTTATTCCCAGAGGATGCCGAAACTGGCCAAGGTTCTTAGAGACACCATAAGCCACATGGGATTCGGAAGTCCTGCTCATCCATTCCGCTCTCATGTGGTCGATTTTAATGAACCACTTTGCATTTGGTTTGGAACGGATAGTTGGTCGAAAATAGGAGATACTGGAGCCCAAAGTGTGGAGCGGATTGGAGCAACATTTGGAGGGGAAGTGCCACAGCTTCAGCTGGAGAAGCAGAAACAACAGGAAACACCCGATCCTGCCAAGGATCCGGGATTTAAGGAGGCCCTTATCGATGAGATGCGATCGCAAAAGAACCAGGAACTTGCCAGTATGAGAGATGTCCTGCTGCGTGGAAAATTCGAAAGTGTTCAAAATTGAAAACACGATGAAATTCAATGTTGTGTACCTCAAAGTATTAATTAACTACAAAAATAAACTTAAAACTCTGCGTTCCTTTCAAATTAAAGTAGGTCTTTTTTGTGGAAACCCTAGTGTAAATTGTCAGCCTTGAAATTTTAAATTCAGATATTCACAGAACCTTTTCTTGTTTTTAAAGATGTCTCAACCTGTTGTTTCGAAGGCTCGGGTTATAAAGATCCTCAATCGGATTGGAGCCCGTGGCATTTTAACTGAAGTTCGGGTGCAGTTGGTCGATCAACCCAAGATGCAATTTATGCGCACTGTCAAGGGACCCGTGCATTTAGGAGATATAATCGACTTCGAGGACACCGAAATATCTTGGCAGGCCTCTAGCAAGAGCAACAGCAACTTTGGTGATATTTGTTAGACTGAAGAAACCTGGGCATATTTCAAATAATTTGAAAATAGTTAAATAATACTTTCCGTTCAAAATAATTAAAAACAATTGAACTATGTACTTAAAAATAAATTTTATTTAAAATCAAAATAATGTCCCGAATTTGGCAACACCATTCCAGGGTTGCAAAAACCTACCGTTATAAAGAGCGAAAAACGCACCCCCCACGTGCTCCGTCTCTCTCGCACTTTTGAGAAACTTAGGCTCCAAACGGACGCCGGCAGCGACGCTGACTGCGTTTCGCTTGGGGTTTCAGTTGGATTTCCAGCTCAGTTCCCAGTCGCCGTCACAGTTGCTCACAACTGCTCTCGCGTAGCGGAGCTCTCTCGGCGCTCTGTGTTCGTGTGTGTGCGTGTGGGCCATTTCGGGCCATTTGTTTGGTGCGAATCTTTTGGCAAAAACTCCGTGCGAGTTGTACGGGAAAATTATGAATAGTGCAGCCCCAGAAACATGAGAAGTACTGTGGCCCTGAAACACTTTAATTAAAGCCCGGCTGCCCCAAGAAAAAAAGTCTCCAACTTCACTACGTAAAGTTTCTGCGTTGTGTAATCAGTCCGAAACGGAGTTTCTCGCTTTGTTTGTTTTTCTCGGCTCTATTTTCGGCAACAACAAAAATATTTTTAAATTGCTTTAAGCTTGCGTGGAGTTTTGACGAAAAAAGCTCTCACAAACTTCAAACTTGACAAATAAATCATCACAGGTGAGTTGGAATAGTACACTTAACAGGCACACAAATACATGTACGAATGCCGAGCAAAATTACTCTGCTCCAATTTTCGAGCTCCACAATTTTTTGTTGCTGGGTCACAATAAAAACATCAAGCAGCCCTCAAAACACCGAAGTATCGATTTTATTTTTGGAGCTCCGTTTCTGGCGCTCTTTTTTATATTTTCCTGCGATTTTTAGTCCTCCACGTGAGTGTGCGTGTTTTTACTTAGCTTGTGTGTGTGTATTTAATCAAGAACCGAAACAGTTTTCCTGCAGCTTACCGTTATACGAGCAGCCGCATTTGCATTTTGTCACATTGCCAAGGCAACGGGCCCCAAACGCCATATGGTCGCGATCTGATACCCTATCTCAGATGAACTTCAGAGTATATTCACATTTCCTTGGGGCTTGCTACTTCCGTTCTTTCGGTGAGAACAACGCTTCAAATCGATAAAACAACTACAGAATCATAAAGGTCAACAGTTTTCACCAGTAAGAACTTAAGACTTTAGTTAATTTGGGTTTATAGTCGATTTTAACGAAATAACAAAAACAATTCATGGACCTTTAGTATCTATTTTTATGTAAATGTTATGTACTTATGAATCACATTAGGTATTATAAAATCAAAAGTTCGTTTTAATGATATAATACGTAAATAAATCTAAATTTAACACGCTTCGTAAGAGTATTTAATTGCTGGCAAGTCATTTCTAGATTTTTATTTTATTTCCTTTTCTTTTGACTTTTGTGTTCGTTGGACTTGCGACGCTTGCATTATTGGGATTTCTTCGCTGGCAGTCTGTTTATTGTGGTTGCTTATTTGGTGTTTTCATTACTGGCACGCTTTTCTGTTTCTTCATTTTTTTACTACATCCTTTGACCCCAATCGCAGTTTGTTTTGATCAGCAAATAAACAAATAGGTATTAATTTGCTTAAGCATTGATTTTGACTCATACGTTAACAAATGATGAAAGTTATGACTGCACAAAAATCGACTTAATTTGCCTTATTTGGATTTGCCCACGCTCAGAATTTAAATCAAAAGAATGGATCCATTAATTGCCCCGCAGAGTTTTATTTTGGCTCGAAAAGAACAAAGCAAAAAAGTGCTTGAACATTTTTTTTTATTTTTGACCCCAGGGCGTGGAAACCAAAACGTATCTATGTATGTGTATACCTTAGTAGATTTTCCTGTATTTGTGTGCGATGATTAATCATAATAATTCGTAGTAAGACCCCTTAAACCATGCTGTCGGCATTGGCGGTTGGTAACAGTAAAGTCTCTTTGACTCATTTAGTAACTTGGCTTATGTTCATTTTGGCATTGGTTGCTTTCGAAAAGCCTTTCAACAAATACAACGACCTCACTTCATATATATTTATAAATATTCATAAATACAGATATAGCATGGCCAATGACTTGCACTCGAAAATGTTAATTGAACCATGAAAGAGTGTGTAAATTAGAACTTCGCACAAACATACGAAAAAAGACGATAAAAAGAAATCTGTTAATTAAAGCTTAAAAACTGGAATTTTTTAACAAAAAAATATGATAAACACTAAATGACAAATGGCAGCCAAAAAAAAAGTGTAAAGAGAAGATCAGGCAATCAAGTTTATGAAGCAACCGAATGGGGAAAAACAAGTGGGGGTGCGATCAGTTCAGAGCGCAATCAACTTTTATTATTAAATGTCAAATATAATTTAAGATGGCAATTTGTCGCAGAACGAATTATTTCCCTTTTGCCCGCCTGGCAACTGAGATGCGATTGGGGTAGGGTAGGATGCGAAGAGGGAAAGAGATCCAGAGAGAAAAAGATACAATTTGCATAAGAGTTTATCTTATGATTTTAATTGAAAAAGCTGAAAGGTCAGAGTATTTCAGAGGGTGCAGAAGGATTAGCCTAGCTAGAACAAACACGTAATCTATTCTATAACTATACCAAAAGTTAAATGAATAAATTATCTGTGTGGAGTCATTGATAAGGCAATCACTTTATTCGCAAATCATGTTATCGAATTAGTTCCGTTATCATTTGATTATCTTTTTTCCGTGACGATACTCGCCCATATTATAGATTTGAAAATACAATTAATGCCAGCTTTATTTTTAATTAAGAAATTATAAATAAAAATCTTTTTGGCGTTCGACTTATGTAAGAGAAAAGTATATCTGATACAGTGCGCAAAATTTTCCATTCAGAATCCAATGGGTCTCCAACATGTAATCACCTTCTGGCACAGGAAGTATTTTTGTAAGACGGTGATTTGCAAACTCAGTAGAAAGTTTATTTAAAATCAAATCGTGCTGAAAGGACGCGAAAAAAAATAAGTTCAATAAACCCAAACAATTCCATTAAATAGCCATTGTTACTCACATTATATGGACAGGAATGGTTTAAGTTAGAGTAATGCTCAAGAAAGCCATAAAGATACTTGGCAACAGGATTGGACTTTTGATAATCCAAGAAACGGCAAGCATCTACCGATTGATTGTAAAGAAAAGGCTTGTAACCACTTAATCGTTTGTACACTCCAAAATTTATCTGCGATGTAAGAACTTTGTTAACAATTCTGCCAAAAGCTTAACATTAATAAACCTTGGCCTTGGTAATGGGAGTCTTGTACAGGTTTAACGTCAAGGAAATATATTTGTAGGTGCGATTTATAGACTTTAAGCGGCACACTCCAATCCCGGCAAATTCTTTGTCCATTGATATACACTTTACATTAGTAAACTCAACTCGAGAGGCAATCTGAAGTATTGTTTTGAATTAATACATAAATTCAACATAAAATGTTTGACTCGCCTACCTCCTCAATTATTAAATAACACAATATTAAACGAAACAGAGAAGTTAAGTTTGCGTACATCATATTTTATTGGTTAACTTTGAAAAACTAAAAATTATATTTTTTGGGTTGCGCTTACGGTAAATACTGATTAAAGATACATATTTAGTTCAAATCGGTTAATAATTATACATCTCATTCGCTCATCGTTAAAATTCTGTCCCATTAAAAACCAATAACTCATTAACTCATTGGTAAAACAAAATGTTAACACTCTTATGATTTCAATTGAAGAAGCTAAAAGGTCAGAGTATTTCAGAACACGCTATCCGTACTATAACTATACTAAAAGTGGAATGAATAAATTATATTTGTTGAGTTATTGATAAGGTAATCACTTTATTATCACGTTGTTATCGAATTAAATCAGTTATCATTTTATTATCTTTCTACCGTTACTATACTCGCTGATCTTATAGACTTGGAAATACAATTAATGTATGCTTTATTTTTATTTAAGAAATGATAAAATCAAATCGTTTTGTCGTCCCAATTATGTGAGAGAAAAGTATACCTGATACAGCGCGCAAAATTTTCCATTCAGAATCCAATGCCCCTCAATCATGTAATCACCTTCCGGGAAGGGCAGAACTTCTGTAAATCGGTAATTTGCAGACTCAGCAGAAAGTTTATCCAAAATCAAATCGTGCTGAAAGGACGCAAAAAATTATAAACCCAATAAGCCCAAAAAATTATATTAAGAAGAATTTGTTACTCACATTATATGGACAGGAATGGTTTAAGTTTGAGAAGCGTTCAATAAATCCATAAAGATACTTGGCAACAGGATTAGATTTTTGATTATCAATAAAACGGCAAGCATCTACCGATTGATTGTAAAGAAAAGGCTTGTAACCACTTAACCGTTTGTACATTCCGTAATTAATCTGAAATGTAAGGAATACTTTGGCTACTTATCGGTTATATGTTTAATAATAGGTGCAGATATACCTTGATCTTGGTAATGGGAGTCTTGTACAGGTTCAACCTCAAGGAAATATATTTGTAGGTACGATTTATAGACTTTAAAAGGCACTCTCCAATTCCGGCAAATTCTTTGTCCATTGACGTACATTTCAAATTGGTAAACTCCACTCGAGAGGAAATCTTAAGTTTTGAGTTATATTTAACATATACATAATTTCAATATAAAATTATCGGTTCGCCTACCTCCTTTATTATTAAATAAAAAAATATTAAACGAAGCAGGGAAGTTAAGTTTGCGCACATCTTACTTTATCGGTTGATTTTAAAAAACTAAAATGTAATTTTATATATTTTTGTGCTTGTGCTATATAATAATTACTGATTGAAGATAATTAGTTTAAATCGGTTAATAATTATACATCTCATTCGCTCATCGTTAGATGTCTGGCCCATTAATTGCTCAGAATATTAACATTTTGCAAAAAAAAATCAATAACTCATTAATTGTGAAAAAAAAGTTTAGACTCTTATGTTTCAATTGAGCAAATCTATTGCGTTTATTATCGCAGCAAAGAAAGTCGAATCACTTAAGGGAATAAAGTTAAAGCTTGAGAAAGTGTTTTTTTTTTTTTGTTTGGACTCGGTCTTTGATTTATTATCGCCAAGGAATAAATCATATAGTGGGTGACCAAAACCCCCACTTCTGGCTTCTTAGCAATGACTGTTTGTCTATAAACTTATCAGGATTTCAGCGACGTGGCTGCCATTGGCAGCACGAGCAAAAACACAGAATTCAGCCAGACAGACAGACAGGAACAAGCTTCTTTGTCATGCGGCGTGCTCGTAAATCTAATGGTATCTGCGATGCACAAAGATACATTCGCAGCGAGCGCATTATGTGCATAAATATTACAGATGCGTCTTGGCACCACCACCCCCCAAATGTCATCTGACATTGGAAATGCAACGAGCCCCGTTGGCGTGATGACAAATGTCAGTCAAGGATAACGTAACATTATACCATCCCCTGATCGATATGCATAAGCTGGGCTTGTTTCAAAACGGCAGTAAGCTTACTTTAAAACTATTAAAGGAAGGGGTGTTTTTTGATATGTATATAGCAATATATTTTAGGAACTTATTCAAATTCATATACATAATATTTTATCTATATATTTTAAAAACACTTCTTCAGATCTAATAAATCACAAGCTATATGAAATAAAATAATTAAAATTTTTAATTATGTATTAAAAAAAATGTTTTTTTTTATTTTTGACATTCTTTAATATTTTAATAACTTAAATTTTGTACAAAGCAATGTTATACATAGTTTAATAACCTTATTTTTAATTGCCCAAAAAAAAACAGCCAATCCTCTTGAGAGTGATTCTAAAACTTCCTAAAACAATTAAATTAACGGAACTGAACCCACCACCTCCACCAAAACTTTTCAAACGTACGATTGCATTGACTTTTTTAAAGCGGAAACTTAAAGTTAGCTTAACACTAATTAACTGCTCCCGAAGCATGACCGGGCTGACCCTTCCTTAACCGTGTTCAGAGTACAGAACAGAATAAAATCAGTGCCCTGTCCCAGTGAAAAAAGGTAAAAGGTTGCATGGGGCACAATGAACTGCAGTCGCCGCGAACGAAGGAAATGTGGGGAAGCGACCACTGCAGCAGTCGCAGCTCACTGAAGCATCAAACGAGCAGAAGGTGACTTAAAGCTGCTATCCGGAGAGCCTTGAATCAACAACTTCCGATTCCACTCCACTCTACTCTACTCTACTCCGTACACCGCAATTGCATTCGGTGTGCGTGCCGAGTATGAGTACGAGTACGTTTGAGTGTGAGTACGAGTTCGAGTATCTGGGCGATACGTTCTGCGAGAGCTCCATGGTCATAAATGAGCAACCAAGCACGACAGCAGCGCGGCATCGACTGACATCCCACTTAGAGAATGGATGTGGATGTGCTCCACCCGTAAATCGCATCCACACAGCGCTTCTCTTCCCCTCCAAAAAAATAAAATAAAACCTAAAAACCCACGGACTCGGCAACTGTCATATATAGTAGCGTAGGTCCGCCCATCTTGCATCGGTTGACAAACGCAAAGTGTGCATAACTCTTAGTAGAGCATGAAAAATTAACTTTAATTCGATTGTAGGCAGTTTCCAGATGGGTTCTTCATGGGGAAGTACTGGGTGCAGTTTGCAGTTTCGTTCCGCCGGCAATTAATGTGTGATAATTAAATTGTGATATCAGCTGAACAATTTACCAATTAATGCTGCCAAGAGTGTCTGATGATGATGGGTTTGAAGAACTCTTTGCTCGTAGGTGGAGCAAGATAAAGTGAAGGCAATGGAGTGGTATTCTTTATACTAAATGAGAACTAACTAAGGAAATAAATATAAACAAGATAGGTAATATAGTTTGTTATATAAAAAAACATAAAAAATCAATGTATTAAAAGTTCTTAAGGATCTTGTTTGACTTTAATAGCTCACATTTTCCCAATTACTTAGACTGGGTTACCTTACCTTTTACAACCTGACCTAAGCCAAAGCATTAGCCGCCAAGACGAAACAATTTCCTTGGTTTCTCACGTCCTTTTCCACTCTGAGAAACTTGAACTTCGCTTCCTTTTCTATTCTTCCCCGCTTCTCTAGTTCATGATCCAGCTAATGAGCAATTTAGCAGGAGTTCCCACATCCCCGACCATTATCCTTTCGCTACCGAAAAGCCAGCGAAGCGTTAAGGCAACTGTCTGAGGGGCGAAAGGATAATGCCACAGACACTTGAGCTGTGATGTGCTTAGGTCAGAAAGCAATTCATACGGAGAAAACGTTTCCCAGACGGCGGGGGAAAATTTGCATGTTTTGCACAATTTCGAGGAAGAATTCAGCAACCAACAACCCCTGGCGCCCAATCAGGGGGATTAAATTTTTGGTGGTGACTGTTTATGGCTTATGAGCAATTAATATGTCAGTTAGCGGCTCGGACAGATTGATGGGGTTGTTGCCTCGAACCTCGGACCTCGGCCCGAAAAACGAAAGCAAACCAGAGCAATTAGAACTGGGGAACTGTCACCGGCAGACACGAAACTGCCAGCAACTTGGAAGAGTTTCCTTCGCTTTCCTCGGCGGCTCGTGTACGGCACGTTTTTGCATGATTTCCGGCGCACCCTCTCGCCGATTTCGATTTTTCCCGCCCGCTTTTCCCCGGGGTTAACAAGGAACACTCCCTGGCAGGGAACACTCCTCCTAGGCCGCCACGAGCGTGCGGCACATTATCCTTAAGCGTCGCCGCGGCAGGCGCTTGTCCTTGTGTCCCGGCTACAAGTGTAAATGCTGAGAACAGCTTTTCTCTACGCTCCCGTTGTTCTTTCTCTGGAGAAAGCGCAAAGGATTTGAAAGGAGGAGGGAGTGGGGGGTGGGGGGGCTTTGAGAATCAATGGCCATGGCGCGTGTTCGGCCCACAGTTCCCGTGGGAATTCCCAAGAATCTCATAACGTGGGCGTGCGAACAATATTTTTTGTGGCCTGACTCCTTAAGCTGGTGCAAATGTCAACCGGGCTTAAATAGGGTTGATTTGGTTTAATCCAAAGGTATTTCTCTATTTTAGAGTTCTATATCTTAAAATTGGTTTAATTTTAAATTTAGGTTCTACCCCCAGTTTTAATTAAAGCTATTAATGTCGAAAAATATCTAATTAAATGGTTTCCTTTTTAATCCCATTTTTCACATTTATTTTAATTGGTTTTCAAAAGCAATTACCAAGAGCAAAATCACCTTTGTTGGCAAATATTTAATTTACTTTTAATAAAAACAAGGTATTTAGAATTTTTTATTTGTAAACACAACCTTATCTTTTGAGCCTTTGGGCTCTATTGATTTGTTTTTAAATCAAACTCCCAAGCATTTAACCATAAAATAAATAAATATTTTACATTTCCAACAAACTTCTCTTCCTGGCTTTCCCCTTTTGGATTCCCCTTCTGATTTGTTTTGCCCCGAGAACAAGCAAACTTTTCTCAACTTTAGCCGGGCAATCAATTTCAATCAATTTCACCTTATTCGTTACCTTTTCTCCTTGGGCTGAATCAAACTCCTGGCCCGAAACGTAAGTTGTGTTCATTCCACAAAAACCAATTGCAAAGATGAGAGGAAGCAAATTTAAAAGCCAACACCCACACACACACACACACACACACAGAAAATAAACGTGTGTGTATGAACATAAACAAAATGAACTTCAGTCCAATCAACCTACAGGCGATAAGAAGAAAAATATAGAATTTCAGCAGAGAGAAGAGAGCTTTAATGGACATCCGGCTTTTATTATGCCTAGTCTTATTATTATTGTTTTCCACCTTGAAGGTGTGTGCTGATGACGAAGAAGAGGAAGAAGCACCTCAAGTGCAATTGAAAAAGCCAAAACCACAACAACAACAAAAGCAACAACACAAACAACCACCGAGACAATAATAAAAGTAATAAAAAAAAAAACAACAACAACCAAAGGCAACTACAAATGTACGATGTTTATTTGCGTTGGCTAAGGAAACGTCTTTTGGCGTGGTCTTCGTCTTAGTTAGATGAAAACCGAGAAGGAAAACCCAGAAGATAGCAGATATAGCTTTTAGCGTGAGATGGAAAATACAGAGGAGTGTGCCGGGCACTCTGCCTCATTAAGTGTCTGACGGCCTTTGGTTTATGATGGTCCCCCATCTACTTACTTGGGGGGATTAGCAATTGCACAACTATAGTCTATAGTCTATAGTATACCGATATACTATGTATGTTGGTGTCAGCCACTTTGCGGGGGGTGTCGATTTTGGCCGGGTCTTAAACAAGTTTAGGCGCCTTTACGGCCATCATTAATCTTGTGGCATGCCGCACCGGAACGGCGACCACGAAAACATAGAACACCAATCAACAGAGCCACGCCTCGAGCCCCGAGGACTTGGACAGCATTTTCTTTATTGATTCACTTGCGGGGGCTCGAAATTTACCACCAACCGCCAAGTGTAAATTTAGCGAAAACATGTTTTACTCGTAAGCCGGTACAAGTGATAAGCTAGTTAATTTTATTACCAATTAACAGACAAAGAAAAAGGTTCAGGAAGCTTAATTAAACACATTGATACTTGAATTCTTGATGAATTTTACAACTACTCAAAAAGAAATACATTTTCAAGGAGTTTCTTAACT